TTTGCTATGTCCAGGAGATAGACCGCTGGGGCCACAAGACCCCACCGGATTGCACTCTGGAAGAAAACTAGAGTCCAATCCACAGATCTCAGGAATCAGACCTGTTCAACACAATCTTCTGTGAGAGCTCCCCTTTGTAGGTCGGACATGACAAGAGACCGAGCACATACACTGAGCTCCTGCAGTTTGCTATGTCCAGGAGATAGACCGCTGGGGCCACAAGACCCCGCCGGATTGCACTCCGGAAGAAAACTAGAGGCCAATCCACAGATCCCAGCAATCAGACCTGTTCAACACAATCTTCTGTGAGAGTTCCCCTTTGTAGGTCGGACATGACAAGAGACCGAGCACATACACTGAGCTCCTGCAGTTTGCTATGTCCAGGAGATAGACCGCTGGGGCCACAAGAATGCATTGCGAATGTGCTGAAGGTCAGGAAATAGGTCTGAATAAGCCCCACATGGACGTGTTAAACATCCTATGTAAGGCCCCATCCAACAAAGCCAGACTTCCCCTTGGCAATTCTGGATTCCAACTTTTGCCTGCACTGTGCTGTTCCCTCGACATAGACTCAGGCTTTTGAATTCTTGCAGGCTATCTTGCCACCAAAGCACGGAAGTGGAGCGGTTCCTCGACATCGCCTCAGTATGGCGTTCTGTCTGGTCTAGCTTCAAGCTTTGTATCTCTTAAAGCTTTGGCTTCCAGAATGGGAGCACCTACTTAATCCTGAAAAGCGCGCTCCGAGAGTCCCAATAAGTGTCAATTGCTACAGGGACCTTGCCAAGAGATGTAGCTGTAGCCGGTACCAGCTTCAGGCTTGCGGTTGCAATGGAAACTACAAGCCCCTCCACATCAACACTGCCAGAAGCGTTTTGAACTGAATGTCAACCATCTAGAGCCCCAGGAGGTAGCCACCGATAAGTCCAAGGCCTCAGGACCCCCCAAGCCCTCAAGGTCCACAACACCAACCAAGATCCAGAGCAGCTGGTATAAGCCGGGGCATCTGCGGGACAGTCCACGTGTTCTCGTCGATATCAAGAATGTGGGTATCATTCAGATAGATGAAGCCGGCCTTGGGGGAGCAATAGAAAGATCTCTGAGAACCAATTAGGGATCATGTCGAGCGCGTGTGTAACCTCGTTCAGGCACAGAAATTCTACCCCAGGGATTTATGCTTGGAGGCGCTGGCCGACCAGGCCACTGTTCACACAGCAAGGCCTCATGTGGGATCTGCGACCATGAACGGTCAGGAAGAAAACTGT